CCCCCCCCCATGCACCGCTTCACTCCCCCACGCACTTGCCACTCCTACCTTCTTCCCCCGAATACAACGTACGGTTATTATAGATGCATCTAGACTGAAAGATGCCTCAAATACAGCTATAATGACCATATGCTTCAAATACAGCTATAATGACCATACGTTGTATTCGGGGGAAGAAGGTAGTCTACATCCACCAACACTCACCCAGCCCCCCAATTGTCTTCTACTGATCGTCATCAACAGAGCAGCCACACCTTTTCCCCCCCACAACCATCACTTGCCATACCCCCTACACATCATCACCAGCTCCACTTCACTCCCCCCCCCCCATGCACCGCTTCACTTCCGATCGACTAAACTCCTTTCGCTCACCCACCGAATTGTTACTCCTAGTCTACATCCACCCACACTCACCCACCCGCCCAATTGTCCACTAGTACTCCACATCCACCCGCCCGCTTATTCATTCGTCGCATTTCCTACTCACTACCTCCCCTATCATATATACAGCAATTCACTTTAGCGGCCACATCACCCATCCATGTCCTCACCCAAATCACCAGCCCCCCCAATCACCCATCATCCCCTTGCGGACCCAAATTACAGGTCCAATCAACCCCCATCCACTCACCAATTCGCCGGCGCTTCGCGCCTCGTTGTCGGTGATCCAATTACCCATTGATTGATCGTATTCCACCTACCCCATTGTTCATCCGCTGATTTCCATCAACCCACCCACTGACCCCTCTATTTTCTCATCAGTCCCTTCCCAGATCACATCTATATACATACATGTGTATATATTGTCACAAGAGTATCAGAGCGCAAATATGTCGATATCTTTGTGACGACATATAGATATATATAGATATTATAGGAAACCCCTTAGCTGCGCACTTACCTATGGGATACTTATCCTACCGTCTTCACCCGAATAGAACGCCCGGTCATTGTAGCTGCATCTGGACTGAAAGTCGCCCTCATCCAGCGTTCTATTCAGGTAAAGACGGTAGCCCAACTTTTGTCCATCGCTTTGCATCCACCTACTCATCCATTACCATCCCCATTTCCCTCTTCATCTCTCCCTCTCCTACCACTCCGCACCTCCTCCCCACCACCAAACCAATCACCCCTATAAATCACTTTAAGGCATAACCACCCATCCATCCCTTTACCTGTCAAAAATCCCTGATAGCTCGCCCGCCCTACATCCCGTTCAGTCCAGTTAACTCACTCGCCCATCCAATCACCCATTTGCTTGTCGGCTCTCATCCCCACTACCCCATTCACAAACCCACTCAACCACCCCACCCATTCCCTCATTAACCATGAGGCACTCACCCGGCTCGGCGGCGCGAGAACAACTAATCAACAACCCCATCCATCCCTCAACTATTGACTCTTTAATCACATCATTCCGATCGCCACGACAGTTCCACAGCGCTCTGAGACGGCGGGGAGAGGATCGCTGCGATGCCTACAAGAAAGAAGACGAGCTCGAGGAGGTCCAGGCAGCGCGGCCGACGTGCGTGCAGGCCTGACAGGAGGAGGCATTACCGTCTTCACCCGAATAGAACGCCCGGTCATTATAGCTGCTGCATCTGGACTGAAAGTTGCCCTCAATACAGCTATAATGACAGGACGTTCTATTCGGGGTGAAGACGGTAGCACTACGTCGCCGCCTGGAAAACCAGACAATACTGTGCAAAAGCGGCTTTCATAACAGATTCACACTAGGTTCACAATAGATTCACACTAGGTTCACAATAGATTCACACTAGATTCACGCTAGATTCACACTAGGTTCACAATAGATTCCTAATAGATTCATAATAGGTGATTCATAATAGGTTCAATAGATTCATAAAAGGTTCCGATAGGTTCATAATAGGTCAAAAAAAACAAATAGGTTCCAAGAACCCCCGCAAGAGAGCAGATGACCCAGGCTAACCCCGACAAGAAAGAAGACAACTAATTAGCTAACAGGTAGACTAGATGATAGCAGGATGCGACGCCCTCATCAGGCCGCAAAAAGTGCGATATCAGCGCGCATTCTACCCCTCGCGAGGAGAAGAAAGAAGGGGGGCAAGCAGGTAGACTAGATGATGGCAGGAAGCGACACATCAGCAGGCCGCACAAAGGGCGATATCAGCGCGCATTCGACCCCCCTCGCGGGGAGAAGAAAAAAGGGGAGACCGGTGGGAAGGATGATGCAAGGGCATAAGTGAAAGAACCGTAGGACGGCCCAGCCCAGGCGGACAGCGAGCGAGAAGAATTGCAGGCACCATGGACAAAAGCGCATCATCATGGCAGACCGGCTACCCTCTGCGCCCACGCGATATCTGGATTCCTAGCAGGCGGAGGATTGCAGCAGATAAGAGGGAAAAAAAAATGGCGGGTAGGGTAGGAAATATGCCAGCCGTTCTAGCAGTCATCACCCCCCCTAGCCCCCCCCCCCCCCCTTGCAGAGACGCTTACAGGTAGCAAAAGACACTGATAAGAGGAACCTTACACGACACGTCACTTCATCTACAGCCGTCAGTCAGCAACTCCACCCTCCGAGCACTCTTTTAGCTCATTATGAAGGCAACTTCTCTCCATCCCATAGAATAGAGATTTTGATGGAGTTCTGGCGATTGGCGGGAGCTGGGATTTGAACCTACAACCTTCAGATTATGAGCCTAACGATCATGAAGGCAACTTCTCTCCATCCAATAGACTAGAGATTGATGGAGCTTCTGGCGATTGGCGGGAGTTAGGATTTCATGAGGGCAACTTCTCTCTATCCCATAGAATAGAGATTTTGATGGGAGCTAGCTAGGATTTGAACCTACAACCTTCAGATTATAGCCTGAAGAGTACGAGAGGAGATGAGAAGGCAAAGAGAAAAGGGTCTTCGGGGAAGGATGATGCAATGCCGTAACCGAACAGATACAGAGCATTCAACCGGCATTCCGGACATCCAACCGACAACCGAAAGAGACCCGCGCAGCGATACGGAAGTCATCGAGACGAGAAGTCCAAGAGGGAGGGGGAGAAGGAGGGGGAGAGAGTAGGGGGAGAGAGTAGGGGTTGTGAGCATCCCGTGATCAAACTTCCGTCAGGACAACCTGAAACAGACAGGCAAAGTGATGCGGAGGTCATTGGGACGAAAAGTTCGAGAGGGAGCAGAGAGAGAAGGGAGAGAGAGAAGGGAGAGAGAGAAGGGAGAGAGAGAAGGGAGAGAGAAGGGAGAGAGAGAAGGGTGAGAGAGAAGGGAGATCCAGAGAGGGAAGGACTGAACAGAGACGGCATAACATAGAAGACAAGGACTGCACAGAGAACACGACGAATGAACATCTATCAGTCCACCAAGTTCAAGGAAGGAAAAAAACGAAGAAGAAGAATGATGCACATGAGAAAGCTGTACACAAAAAATGAGCACGGCCCCTGCGCAAGAACGCCAGGTGTAAATCGAGCAAGACAGGGTAAGGGAGGGGATAAATGAGCGTAATACGAACAGGGCTAGCTCAGCTGGCACAACCATGGACTGTTGAAATAGAGACCAGAGTTCAAGTCCAGATGGAATCAGATCATTGAATTAGTGTAAAAATGAAGGGAAGCAGAACAGACAAGAAAAGAGGAAGGGAGAGAAGCGAGTGGAAGATGGAGCGATCCGCGGGAGAGAAGAGGGGAGAGAGAGGAAAGGAAAGAGGAGGAAGAACCGCGGGAGGGAAGAGGACAGAGAGAGAGAGAGGAGAGGAAGAGGAAGAAGAAACGGAAGGATGGACGGCGAAAGGGGGGACAGGGGAAGGAAAAGGGAGGGGGGGGGGGCAAGGGAGTGGGGAGGAATGATATAGCAAAGGGAAGGAAGAGGGGGACGGAGCTGACGAAAGAGAAAAAAACGAGGCAGCGTAATAGAGGAGGAGAGAGATAGGTTAACGAAGGGAATTTGGAGAGAAAAAAAGAAAACAATAATACCGCAGAGATCGAGAGATCGCATTGCGCCGCCAATCGGCAAGTCGAGGACCTCACCTCCATGGCCGTGGTAGGTAATAGGGCAAAACACACAATCAGGAAGAGGAGGAGGAGGAGGAGGATACGTGTACATCTCGCTCCATCCGTCCGAATTAAAAGCTTTGTCGCCTGGCCTTCCCTCCAAACTGTTGATGAGCTTGGTGATGCCGCGCTGCAACACTTCCCACCCCTGATCGAGTCCAATCACCCTATTCCTTTGGTCCGCCATATCCCTTTATTTCTCGCTATCTCGGCGCCACCGCGCTCCCTCCTAGGACAACCTGCTTGTCCCTTCTTCTCCGCTTGTCTGATAATCCTTTCTTCCTCTCGCTTCCTTCCTTCCTTCCTTCCGTCCTACTCCCACCCACGAGTGTGCTCGTTCCAACGTGGCGCGAGTATTCCCTGAGACTTCACACAACTCCCTAAACCCCTCCCTTCCTGCTCACCCACCCGCCTGACCCCCCACCTTGTGCGCGCGCCGATTTCTCTTTTCGCCCCCGGCCCACGGTTCGCACTGCAGCACCCCCCGCCCTCGCCCCCCTCCCCCTCCTCCCCCCAGGGACAACACTCTCAGTCACGCCTTCGGTTCCCTCTTAGCACTCAACAACAGTCAGCTTCACGTTTGCCTGTCTCCTTTCGCTAAGAAATTACCTCCGCGCACACCCTCCACCGAGAGAGACAGAGAGAACGAGAGCGTGAGAAAGGAAGAGCAAGGGGGAGAGAGAGAGAAAGAGAGACAGAGAGAGAGAGAGACAGAGAGAGAAAGGAGGTTCTTCCGATCAGCGGGGCTGGACGTCCCCTGCAACCGATCAATCACTGCGATTACTGAGCGCCCCCCAATTCGTCTGTGAGGCGGACTTTGGTGCTCGCCACGTCAGCAACACAGGTGGCACCTGCGCCACGTGTCAATGTTGGTGCCACCTGTCACTGATTGCCTGCGTCGAAAATGCCGAGAACGCAACGCAGCGAAATGAAACAGCACTCAGTGATTGAGCCGGGAGCAGAGAGAGAAGGGGGGGTCAAGGGGTAGGACGACATCGGGCAAAGCTTGCGTGAAACACGCCTCGTTCATCTTCCCACCCACCCACCCACCCACCCACCCAATACTCCCCGGGCCCCCTTCACCACATGCCAAGGCCGAATTGATGACCCTCACTCCACCACTTCAAGTGCGCTCCCTCCTGTCCTGGCGACGGAGAAAGAAGCAAACGAGACGCGGTGATGATATGCGGAGAAGGAAGAAAAGGGGGCGGTGATGCTGATGGGAAAGCAACAAGCAATGGGGAAAGCGATGCTGTGGGGACAAGCAACAAGCAATCGAAGGGGACGGTGATGCTGTTGAAGCCCGTGCTCTTTCTCACACGACATCAACCCACAGCTCACAATTCTGTCCGCTCCGCCCCCCCCTCCCCCCTCCTCCCTCCTCCCCCGGTCGCGTTTCCTTACCCTGCTACTACCACTGCCAACGGCAAGCCGTCAAGCCGTCCGACCTCTCAGCGCTCACCCTCCCCGCGCCCCGCTCTCTCTTTAACCCGCCCTCGGGCGCCTCAGAACCGCGACAGACGGGAACATAGGAACGGGACAGGCGATTTGAACGTCAAAACGACCAGACCCGCTGGGCACATCAGGCCCTTCTTCCCCGCGCATCAAAGAAAAAAGTTGGGCGACAACCCAAACGTGGATGGATCAACCATCACCTGTCTTGACTGCGGCCTCCCGTCGGAAGCAACAGTGAGGTCGCACCCCGACCTACACACACACACATCAGAACTTTGGTGGACGTTTCTGACAGGGATTACAGCCGCACAAGGACGTATCTGACCGCAATGACAGCCACAGAAGAGTCGGAAAAGCCCTACCAGGTAACACGAGTACGGTCTGACTTGCACGCTCAGGGAATCGTGGCAGGCCTGCACTTTCTCCAGAACGCTCACGATGGCTGCTTCCTCGATGATACCCGACAGGGAGGCCGCAGCCTGGCTTTCTCCCTCGGTCCGTCGGAAACACCGCTGCTCAGCCTGCTGCCCCCGCGAATTCCTTCCTATACAAGTCTTCCCCCGAACATAACGCACCCTGAAAATGAATGTATACAAGTATCTTCCCGGTTGGGTACAGTCGTAATCAGGGTGCGTTGTGCTCGGGGGAAGATGGGCAGCGCGCCCCTCCCCCGCCTGTTTTCCGTATCAGTATCGCGCAGCGGCAGGTGCAGCTGTGCCCAAGGCAGGCCTTCTTTTTCTTTTCTTTCTTTTCCTTGTTCTGTTTTTTCCTTTTATCAAGCCCAGGTTGTTTGGAGGTTGGATTTTTAGATGTGATGGGTGCCTTCGGCACTTGGCCATGCGGGGCCGGACGAGGCTATATTAGTGCGACTTGCAGAAACCACGCCAAATACCCAGTCTGCCCGGACTTTATTAAGCGACGTCCCCGTCGCACCAAACATTCCCATTCAACTGCTGTTTTAAACATAGTCTCGAAAAAAAGCATATAACTTAACAAAAACCGATCATTAAGTTGTATTGTTTCCAAGCCTCGATTTCTCAAAAAGAGGCATACAAAATCGTCGGTCAAAAATATCATTTAACTCCTGACCAAAATAGCAATCTTCAATAGCCGAACAATCGACTAAGCACAGACATTCTTTAACTTTTAATTTAACAAAGCGGATAAAACCACTTTCCACCTGTTATAATTACAGACAAAAAGTCATTCAAGCGATATTTTATCGCGCCGGACACCCTGATCATCCTACCACTAGCTAAAACTTAAACTCAGTGGTGGGTCAAAATTCAGGATCTCAATCTTTATTTATAGTTTTTTTCTTTTCACACATCAATTGCTCAAACTCAACTGATCTATAAATTTGTTTTCAACCTTTTCCCCAAAGGAACACCGCATTGTGGGGTTTAATCAGACACCTCCATTTTTCAACTAATCTAGAAGGTCAGGGTACTTGACCCCATCACACATATCACAAATGTACCTTAGGGGCAGGGCCCTGTTAAGCCCAATCCCTCAAGTCATTACTATCACGCAAAAGCCACTCATTTTACTGATTCATCAACCAGATGGGTGGGGGTATTCACGCAGTCTCTAATGTAAAAGGAAATCACCCCTTTTGATTATAAATCCTACTTTTACGAGCAGGGTTCTTTGCTTTCGTCACATCCTTTGTCAATCTCACCCATAAGTTTTGCTCAGTGAGCAAACGCTCATAATTTTCTTCCAAATGAAATTCACTGTTTATGCTTCTCAAAATCTCACCACAATCAACCATTTTCCCTTGTTTTTTCTCAATCAGGGGAAATATTGTTGCAGCCTAGCCACTCGCAGTTCACAACCAAAGGTCAAGTGAGGGTCTCATATACATGACAGGTTTCCCTGCCGTGAGTCTCCCTTACTGGTAGCTATGAACCTTGGGTAAAGTGACATTGTTGTATACTTGACAGTATAACCTCTACCTTCTGACGCAGACTAAACCACTCGCAATCCATAACCAAGGGTCAAGTGAGGGTCCCGTATACATGACAAGTTTCCCTGCCGCGAGTCCCTCGCTGACAGCTATGAGCCCAGGGCAGAGTGGTCGCTGTATATATGTCAGGAAGACAAATCTCTCAATCAAAAATTTTTCAGCTATTCTTTCCACTCAAGAATAAACATTCCATATAATCCTTAAAATATCTTTCACTTGGAGATGGGTCCCAATAGACCATCAACCGTTTAGGTTGCCCTCGGGCATAACCTCTCTCTCAATATGATTTTCTGGATTCTCTTAAATCTCCCATAAATTCTTCACTGATAATCACGCCTTCCTCACTTTATTGAACCCTCTCCGGTTCAAGCATTCTTCACTAACCTTTTTTTGTCACTCTTTCATTATACATAGTTAAGACTCCGCTTCTCATATGTCAAATAAAATAAAAACAGAAAGACCCACCAATCCACCATGGTGAGAATGTCAATGACAACCAGAACATGCACGATTCTGCAACCCAGGGAAATAAAACCCCATACCAAGATGGTTTTTTTTTTTTTTTTTTTTTTTTTTTTTTAAATCAAATTATCTTGAGTCTTAAATTTTCACAAGCCTCAAATCATCACAATTTCAGGTCCCAATCAGAAACAAAAGACCTTGTATGTCATACTTTATAAATCATAAAAAGTTTGATATACACAAAACAATCCCAAACGTTCCCGCAAAGACGTAAGGACGTCAACGTATAGACAATCGAACCCTACAAGACCTTCACTTACATCTAACAAAGTTGAAGTCAGCTTAGAGAGCGGATAGTCAAATCCAAGGTGTACGCACAATCCCCAAAAGTAAAGTCACTCGAACTCAAACGTATATATGAGATAAAACCTACGTCTCATAAAACTTTGAAGGCTCAACTTAAACGCAAAATAGGCAGATAATCACCTATTAGTATAGTAATCGAGTTTGTCACATCGTCATAGTCTTCCGAGTGTTTGTTTATAAATCATTCAAGACAGCTGACACCATTTTATCTCTCTCTTGCTATAAACGAGACAAGTAGTGTAATGATAGTCATTGGGATAAATCAAGCCCTCATCTAAGGCTTACCCTTCAACTCCTTTCTTTCCCATCTTACAACTGCGAGGGGTGTGACCAACCGGGCACATCCTTCCTGAGGGCGGGACGTAGCCATAGATGGGCCCATATTTACTTGCTTCTGTCCTCTTCGCCCCTATTTTCTCTCTTTATTTGGGACGTCAATTGTCCTCTCACAGGTCTGAGGCATGGTGTTTCTGGCTTCAACTTCCCCTACTTTACCAATGTCGGCCCACGCCTTGTTTGCTTCATCTCACTTATGATTTCGCCCAGATTTCTTAACCTTCTTTTGGAGCTCGTCTTTTGTATTCCTTCTAACACCTACCACAACTTCCTTTGTGCCTTCATCAAACCTACTCTTACCATAGTTTTGCAACTCCTTTCTTTTTCTCACTTCTCACATAGTATGGCAGGGGTACTGGTCGAAATCCCCCAGCTCAAAGTTATCTTGGATGTTATCCCATATTAGTATCCCCTCTGTCCCACGAATCAAGTCTCGCTGCTCGACATCTGTGAAGTTTATGAGGAAGACAAAACACTTATCATGATCAGACAACGCCCAACCCTTGCGCAATGTACGCTCGTACTCCGCCAGGAAGTGCCCTACTGACACATAACTATATCGAGTAACAAACATGATACAATTGTTACCTCTTCAACTTTTAAGCGAAGCATATATCACAGAGGGGCGATGTAACTCTCGTAAGATAACATCTTGACTCCTGAACCCCGCTCTAAAGATCAAGCCTCACCGCAACCCTCTTTGATTCCAGCGCTTGCACCTCACTAAACCTATTAAGGTTAGCAAGACAACCCCACTCATACCTATTGAGACAACGGGTGATGATCCCGCACCTCTCTAGGTATGGTGGCCCTACATAGCGAAAGTCTGGCCTAGGTCGTCACTCTAGACCCACCTTAGCTAAACAGTAGTTGCCATGCATTTGCCATCAAGGTTTAAGTAAGGAAACAAACTTTTTCCTCCTCTTTTACCTGATAATGTAGTTACTTTCCTATTCAAAAGAAAAATAACAACAACCCACAATGGACCACGAACATAGTTTCGGCGCGGGTCTCACTATCATTCTCAAGACTGATAACTGTTTCCTTAAGTCTCAACGAGGGGATAACAATTTAAGAATGCACTTCCACTGATGATAATTTATACATGCTGACTAACTCCCCTTAGGAAGAATCACCTTCCCTAGGAGTTAGTCACCCCATTCACCTCTGGTCCCATGCCAGATGTGGGTTTCATGCAAAGTCTATGCCCTCTTTTGAAAGACAATCCATACATATATCGTCAATCAAACAATAAACAAATACAGAAAAAACGCATATATTGCAGCAACCACACATAAAATAATTGTCATAAAGACCAATATATACATTTATATATATATATATTCACACAAACTTAAGACATAAACCTCTCTTCGGGTTAGCCAAGCCGCTAGCAAAGTAACCACTACTTCGCATCTTTTATCGGCAGTTACATCTATACAATCCTCTAGGTGACTCAATTTTATCGCCAACTGAGACCACCGGAGGGTCAAGGCACAATATTAATTGCACTACCCATCGCACCATAACTCGGTGTGTGCTAAAGAAACGACCTCTGTCATAGAACCCCTCATTTCGCACTTATCAGTTACCCCCTCACTCATGTCGCTCACGTACCAAAACCCCCTTCTAAAGCGACACTTTACTAACCAAGGGGATACGCCTCAACTTAACGTCTTTACATCCCAAAGCAAGCTTAGCACATAACTCACGTAATGAGTCACTAGCCTCATAGCTTTGACAGTTATCAACTTAGCTTGCTTCGGTAATAGACATACAAAAAAATGCGGATGCTGCCTCAACTCAACCAAGGCTGCATCAGACACGCCACATATCGCCCAATTATCAAAAGATACTTAAGATGACAAGGTGTTTGTTAATACCGCTATTATACGCGTCAAAATA